AGATCATGAATGAAATAAAAGCATTAGGTGACTAGTGCTCTTAGCCTTATTTAAAATTGCCATAAAAGGGGACTAAGTAAAAGTTTGGCATGTACCTATTTAGGTTTTTTTAAAAAAAAAGTAAAAAAAAGAGGAGAGGTTTGAAACTAAAGTTTGTGATAAATGTCCAAGAATATCTTCACGTTTGGGTGTTTCTTGACTAAAAAAAAAAAAAAAAAAAAAGAAGAAGTGAAACTACAAAAAGTAATGATGTACTTGCTGAAAATGACATAAAGCAAAGAAGAGTTGGCATTGACTTATTCTACAACTTGAAGTAAAAAAAAAAGGCTTGAGGTAAAGTTTGTGATGAAATTTGTTACGTATTTCTTGAATGGTGCAAGAAAAGTAACATTGTACCTGCTGAAAATGACATAAAGTAAAATTGAATAGTACAAAAGGAAATAACATTATACTGATATTGAAAGTGACATGAAAGAAGGAAAATTGGCATGAAAAGAAGATGACTACCTTCCGTAAAGAAAAGAAAATACAGAGAAGTACTTGCTCTACTCCAGTTTGCCAAGAATTGATGGTATTTTGGATTTTAATACCATGCCTCTTGTTTATATAGACCCAATAACGAGGGTAGCAGCAGTCCGGAACCAATTGTGGTTCTTTTGGACTTAAAATATCGAAATAGATGGGGAAAAACTTAATGATCAAAGTATATAAAACGTGCTCTTGAAGGTAAAACGCCTTTTAAAAAGACATTTTATGTAAGAGGAGTTGATTTATTGTACCGAGGCCAACGCTGCTCTACAAAATCTTCATAGGCCCCTGTTAGCGGGATCCTTGTTAGTTTCTAGGTGTCAATTGTTAGTAAACATAATAAAATTAATAATTTAATACTATCAACACTAGTATTAATTCTACTTATACCTTCAGCAAGTAGATCGTAAATAATCACTTGCAGTTCCTGGACTTGGATAATAACAGATTTGCTATCTACCATTTTGTTGTCCAAAAGCTTTGCAACAACGAACTTTTTTAACCCGGCATCTTCAGTTTTGTATTTCTTTTCAAGCGCAATCCACAGTTCTTTTGACGTTTCCACGCTACTGTAGACGTCATACAAAGCATCCTCCAGCCCACTTAGAATATAATTCTTGCACAAAAAATCTGAATGCTTCCACGCCTCAATCACGAGAAAGCGTTCACTCTCTCGAGTTTACTGATGTTATTACACTAGAATACAAGTATTTCAAAACTTGCTGGAAAGTATTCGATATGGGTGATTCCTCAATTGTATGCTTACACGCTCAATTTCCCTGTTGAAAAATTCCTCCAAGCTCAAGGAAAAATATGAGTTATGACAGATGCTTGATGCTTTAATCCTACTTTGGATGCTTTATTCTATTATTGAATTTTTGCTATGCTATTTTACATGTTTTAAACCACAAAAAATTTGAAGTTATAGTGCACCACTGGTGCTGTCCATGTAATGTTGGTAAAGAGCTAAATGGGATACCCTTGTTTTGCCATCATGGTCCTTTACATGAAAAATTGCTCTCAAGTGCCTTAAGAAATTTAGCAAAGTAGACAGTTACAATAATCCATGTCACTATTCTTGTAAGTCTCTTCTGGAACTACATTTTTTGTTGCAGGCTTTAAGGCTCTTCAGATGACAATTAAGTGTACCAAAAAGGAGTTTGCTAAGATTTTTGTTCTCTTTTATCACTGTAACTGCGGCAGCCTCCAATGTTTCTTTTTTAAATGCAGTGGAAGAAGAAGCGTATGAGGAAGCTGAAGAGAAAGCTCAGAAAGATGAGATAGAGATCTAAGTAAAGCAGGGTGCCTATGATGCTTTCTTGGGTAAATCTGCTGCCATTCTCCTCTTGGTGTCTAGCTCTCTCGCAGCTCCAGAGAATGGTGGTTGTCTGTTGTTTAAAGTTGCATTAATTGATCTACTATTTTCTATGAAGGATCTCAGTTTAGTTTAAAGTCATAAAATTCTCTTGCAGCATCGACACTACCCAAAACTTGGTCATCTCCTTTAACTAAATTATCTCTTGTTAAAACAATTTGATGATCATGTCCTTAAAGAGGTGAATGTTGGAGGATTTAAGCCTAATTTCTTTAAATGAGTTTGCCCTTGAAATAACACCTAATTTCTTTAAATGAGTTTCCCTTTACATAATATTTGATTTACCATCTAGCGAGATGGATTCTTGTTATTAGGAGTTGCAAATTTTAAGGAATCAAGAGATCAATCTAGAATCCAAAGACAAGTATGTGCATTTCTAAGTCTTTTGTTTTGTTTTATTTTTCTCTAAAGATGCTTTTTCCTGAGTTTCATTAGTTAAAATAATGATACATTGTTTGGTAACTAATATCAAGCTATCCTCTGTGCTGAGCTAAACGACATCTTCCTGCAGGATCTAGAAGATTTCTATTTCGTCTAACACTGGGCCGTCTCCAGACTGAAGAGGTAATCTGCTAAAAATATTTGACTTAGTTATGAAGCCGGTAAGTGTATATGCACAGAGAAATCAAAGATCTTGATGTTTTTGGACTAATCTGTAGTAGAAGATTTCATCAGGTACGTTCTCATTCGCTCTAACACATTGACAATTGATACCAAAAAGAACAAAACAGAAATAGTTTACTAACAATTTATGTATGGTTGTTCACATGAAGACATGCATTTCTATATCCTTGTACATTTGATTTTTAGTTTTTTCATGTTTTCATGTTGCATTATATGTTTATTCTTTTATTTTGGTATAATAAAGTTTTATTCCCTTCTTTATGAACAAAATTCACAAAAATATATCAGCAACTCCACAAAATGGCGGTCTCATTTCTATCATATGATATCAAACTTATTAAAAGTAAGAAGGATGTGTCTGTAATATTACGTACGTTTGAAGATGATATTGGAGTTGTGGATATTGACTCTACTTCTGCTTACTTTTTTTCAATTAAATCATTTATCTTTAATCTATGAACTCACATATTCACTTAAGTGTGGATTGCTCGGTTATTCTCAGCTGGAAAATATGGTTATATTGGAACTTGGCTGGAAAGTGA